AACACTGCACCACGTTGATTTGCTCCCTTCAATTAGTACTCTTTGGGTCTGACCCCATAGCCAGTTGCCTAGCCATTGGACTGTATGATGATCTAGGCCATAGTTCCCCAGCTTAACCATGAGGAATGGGGAACTAGGTCAAAGGCCTTCTTGAAATCCAGGATCTCTCAGGGGCGCAATACTGTCCTTGTTCTTTTTCCTACTTCCCACATATCTAAAGAAGGACTTTTTGTTGTCCTTGATCCCTGTAGCAAGCCTAAGTTCAGTTTGTGCCTTGGCTTTTCTCGACCGCTCTCTACAGGTATGGGCAAGTGCACAGTGATCTTCTTTGGTAATGCTTCTTGGTTTCCAGCTGGTGTAGGCTAATCTTTTGAGCTTAATGAGGTCCAACAGTTCCTTATTCAGCCATAGGGGCTTCCTTGCTCATTGACTGCATTTCTTGTGAGAAGCGATGGCTTTGCCCTGTGCTTCAAGGATTATGTTTTTGAGCAATGGCCATTCCTCATATATTCCCTTTTCGGGGGGCGGGGGATATGGCCTCTGATTGCCTAACTGACCAGTTCTCTCAGTTTGCAGAAGTCGGCTTTCCCAAAGTTAAGGACTTCTGTTTTACTGAGGAGTTTGCCTGTTCTTCGGTGAACTAAGAAGGTGACTAACTCATGGTCACTGTCACCAAGCTTCCCCTTGATCTGCAGATTGCTCACCAGGTCCTCCCCTCTGGCCAGGACCAGATCCAGCAATGCCTCTCCCCTAGTCAGCCTATAGACCTCCTGAGTTAGGTAGAGGTCATCGATGCACATGAGAATACTACGCGACTTATCAGATTTGGCCATGCGATCATCCCAAGAGATGTTTGGGAAGTTGAAGTCTCCCATGACGATCAAGCATCAGGAGCATGCGGCTTCGACCAGTTCCCTAATGAATTCCTGATCTAGGTTGTCCTCTTGGTGGGGGGTTGTCTATAGTAGACTCCTACGAGTAAGTCATCCTCCCCATGTTCTCCTTGTATCTTGACCCAGAGGGTCTCAAGGCGCCCTTCCTGGTTTGGAAACTCAATCTGCAGGGAGGCGAGCTGATCTTTGACAGAGAGAGCAACACCCCTATCCCTCTTCCCCACACAGTCTCTCCTACACACAGTGTAACCCTCTATTGCCACTGACCAATCATAGGTGGAGTCCCACCAGGTCTCTGTAATTCCTACAAGGTCATAGTCATTATCACATAGGAGAAGAGCCATTTCCTCATGTTTGTTTCCCAAGCTCCTGGCATTTCTGTACAGGCAGTTAAGTCTGCCATATGAAACCCAGTGCTTCCCTGAGAGGACCTTTCCTTGGGCTGTCTCCCTTAGGCTGCCCAAGTTATTGGTAGTGCAGCTGACATGACCTGGGCTAAAACTGTTAGTAGACTGTTAGTCTCCCAGTGGGGGAGCAGTGCCAAGTCAGTCCATGGGTCAGATTCAGTTGTGCAGGGCTGGCACGACCAGGACCTGATCCAGCAACCCGCCAGGGGAGCAGTAGGAACAGATTTTGCTAGAATATCTTTTTCATTATTGGTAGCAAATCTATCTTACGTATATTATTCTAACCAAATATGAATTGCTAACAAGTGTAGTTACAGAACAGATTTTCCTGCAAACTACAAATGACCCTCTCTCCATGAAGTAGATCTAAATTATAGTTATTTGTTTACACTCTTCTAACTAGTTTTTTTGTGGTGGTGGGACCTGAAGTAGATAGTCCTCTTAAAACTTAGCAGGTTTTTTGGTAATGTCCTATAGTCCTTGTCCACTCTGACTGGTGTCATATAGCAGACTCTGCAACTATGAAGTCCAAGCCAATTCCCTACTTGGTGTTATATGTAGTGCTCTGTGACCCCAATGTCCCAGTAATTATATTTAGTGTTATGGCTGCAGAGCATGTCCCAGTGTTTTTGTGTGTTGTACTCTACAACCATCTGCAGTATATCAAGTGTTTCTGTGGCAATCAGAAGTGTTTTCCTATTGCTCAGAATAGGGAAGGGGTGAGGGATGTGATTGTGTGCATCACCATGCTGGCCACATCCTGTTACAGCTCATGGACCACTTCTATTCCTGGCTCCTTCTGAAATGGGAGTCCCTCTTTCCAATTCTTCTCATTATCTTAGGCCAGGGGTTTTCAACCTTTTTTCAGTAGGTGTACCCCTGGCAGCCGGACATGGAGCATGGGGGGCGGTGGCACGTAGGGGTACATTTACAAAAAAAAAGTGGAGTGGCGGCAGCGCAGGGTGGTGGGAAGTGGCAGCGGGCATCGCATGCAAGTTTTCCCCCCCGCCCTCTTCGTCTGGCTAGCTGGGCAGCGCCTGTAGAGCCCACGGAAGGGCACTGCTGCTCTGTGTCCCCCTTCCCACCCTGGGCTTTGTTTCTAGGAGGCGGTGGGGCTCCGTCCCCACCTGCCCACATGTACCCCCGAGGGTATACACGTACCCCCAGTTGACAACCCCCATCTTAGGCTTTCTGCAGGGCCTAATGACTCATGGGAGCTTTCCATTATCAGCTTCCTGTAATTCTAGCCCCTATCCTGTGAAGAGACAATTTGGACCTATTCTGGGTCGCCCAGGATTGATCCAGCTGCAAGTAGGTGGGCCTTTTGCCTTAGTGGGACCTTGACTTACTTTATTGGAACCCTCAAGTCCCATTCTTCAGTGCACATGTTATTACTATGTATGTATTTGATTTTAAACAGGTTGTTTTGTGTGGGAGATAGTTAAATAAAATGAAATGATCAGTGTATGCATTGAGGTTTTTTTGTTTTCATTTGAGGCAGGGAGAAAGCACTAGAAGTCTCTGCAGAAAAAGAAACCGTATAAAACATGTATTGTAAAGCTGTTCCTTTTGTTTCACTTGATCGGTAATTTATTGAAAGATTCAAAATATTTATAAATAAAATATACAGAGATTTTCCTATTGGGGTGCAAACAATTCACAAAAAGTTTAAAAAAAAACAACAACCCCCCCAAACAAACCATCAAAGAAAACCTCATTCCAAATAAATCAGCTATAAAGTAGATATGTACTATCCTTTCTCTAAACAGTGCTGATGCAAAAATTTGCAACAACAAGAAAAATAGTAGCACCTGCTCATAGACAATACAATGCAATATCCAGGAAAAGGTAACCACAGATAATTGGATATTTATCACAGTAAGCATAATTGTGTATCAAATGCCAATAAAAAGAGGCATTCCTCAGTAGTCCCCCAAGGGGACATCACTGATATGTTGTGAATATTATATGCCAGGCCACTGAGAATTTGTTTTAGGCTATCATCTGTCCTCTGTTTATTTGTTTTTAAATGCCTTCCAGAAAAAAGGGGTTGGAATTGTTTTTTATTATTTTTTCCCCCAACAGTGATGGCCCATATTCACATTTTGTGTACATGTATTGTCTGCGGATGGTTCGAACCAAAACAGCTGACCTGTGTCAGAGGTTGTACTTAGCTAGTGGAGTGCAAAACGGAAGGAATATATGCTTTCAGAACAGATGGGTAGGCATTCATTCCATGTTGTTGCACTGAAGCTCTCGCTAGCATTCAGCATTAATAAGCCTCTGCGCGCCACAGTTTTTTTTAATTATTTTTTTTTTAAACAATTTAAAAAACATTTTTGTATTTACTGTAGGGTCCCCTCCTTTCTTCTGTAGACTCCATTGTCACAGGCAGGATCACAAATTTTTCAGCCTGAAAAAACTTAGTTCTGGAAGTATTGTTTAGAGTAGGATGTTCAACTGAGAAGTAATCTCTATAAATGAAATCTACTGCATTTTATAGATTTACTTTTGGTAAACTTCCTCCTTTGGATAGTAAATGTGCTGTGATGTGTATCAAAAAGCTTTAGTTTCTGTATATTAAGTACAAGAATGTGATTGAATTGCCAGCTGCCAATTTTTTGGGTAAATTGATCCTAGATTATTTTCCTTTTTCCTGAGCGTTCAGCTCTCAAACTTCCACTTCAGTCTTGTCTATCAGGTCTTTTTTAGCTGTTTTCCCTGCAAGAAATACCATGCCAGTATAAAACATGTTTATACCAGTGTAACTGCATTCCCACTAGTATGATTTTGCTGCCTCAATGACATTGGAATAATTAAAGCAGTATATCTTTTGTGCGTTGACAACCCTTAGCTGTGGGTACTTCTGGTACTGCAAGAGGTCTTTAGAGATTACAGAGTAATAATCCCAGTAATTATTCTGTGCGTTCATTGCAGAAGGTAACATTAACCAAGTTGTTGTATCTTTTACAGTGGGGTATTAAATGGTAGCAATCTTATAGTTTTGATTGCACTAGCAGAATTGCACTATTGTTCAAACAGTAAGTCTAGATAACAAATAAAAGCTGTTTTTGTTTTTCTCAAGCTGTGTGGTTAATTTTTTTTTAAATATTGTGAACAGCACCAATACATTTTTAATGTAATGGTGCTGAATCACAGCTGCTTGCACTTTTGCATATAGTGGTAATGTAATGTAATGCTTTGGTGAAAGTGTTGCTATTTTTCACTCAGAACACGCACTTATTTATTACATTGCATTATCGACTCGAAAGAATCGTGTATGTAGTGAGTGGTGATAACTGCCTTCTACTCTAAAGCAGCATAATGGAGCAACATTTCAAGTTCCTTTTTGAAGAAGGCAGGGTTACATTACAATTGAGGCATTTTCCTGTATAACAAAAGACATTTGCTTAAAATTAAAATATAACCACATCTATCATCTTAAGATATTTATATCATTCTGAATGAAATGACAGAATTACTTAGTTGTAGCCAACAGTTTACTAATACTTATTAATAATTTTGTCTAGAATAGTAGAAATTCTGCTTGGTAATCAGAATCGCTGGAGATTTTTGTTTATAGGGAGATGCTTTTTCAGGAATACCTGTATTCTGCCAGTCCACACAGAGTATTACCATGTGGATGAGTGATGGCTGGGGACTGCTGTTTACCAAGGTAGTGTTTTATTCCAGCTGTGTACACTCTCCCTCAAAAAAAAATCTTTTTTGCAGATGCAGTGCCAGAGGCAAATAGGAAAACTGAGGCATTATAAAAGAGTGTGTTATAGCACACTGGTGCCATCTGATGGTAAGTTATCTCATCAGTTATCTTTTTTTCAAATCAGCTCACCTTTTAGTCTCAGCCTTCTGAAAATAACAGCTAATAATAGAAGTGTGGAATGTGCATTATTCCTGTTGCGTAGATGTATGTATCTTTGTTTCAGCAAGCACGTAGTTTTACAGCACAAAACTGGGGGGTCAGGACATTTTCTACCTCTGCCATTGACTTTTCAGGTGATTTTGAACAAGTCACTTTTTCTTTTGGGGCCTGTAAAAGTATTATGCTTTAGTCTTGTACAGTAAACAAATTTAAGACATACTATATGCATTTCCATATTTGGCCTCTTTTGAAAGGAAGTATGAGTTTAAATTGCATTTAACAAACATGACTTTTTTTCCTCTTTTTCAGAAGTAACTATTAATTACAGACATGGTCTTCCTGTGATAACTGTTATGTTACCCTCAAGAAAAGAGCGCTGCCAGTTTACTGTCAAGCCAATGTTAACAACCGTGGGGACCTTCCTGCAGGACATACAGAAAGAAGATAAAGGAATCGAGAAGGCAGAAATCTTTACAAATGGTATTTATTAATATTGTATTAACGTTGCAGTCCGTTTATAAGAAACTAAGGTTAGCTCTTTCTTTTTGAGTAAAGAGCTCCTTAATCCCCAGCTGTCTGCACTGGTATGCTTGCAGCTAGCTGCAGGCATTGCTGTTAACTGTCTGGGCATCCGGAGAGCCGGGGTTCAGGGACAGGTCTATAACCAGTGCCCGTCCCAGGGTGGTTGGTGGCCACTCAGCCCTTGCCAGTCTGGCTCTCATAGATAGATTTCATAGACATTAGGGCTGGAAGGGACCTCGGAAGATCATCAAGTCCAGCCCCCTGCCCCAGGGGCAGGAAGTCAGCTAGGGTCAAAGGATCCCAGTAAGACAGGCGTCCAAATGTTTCTTAAGAGAGTCCAGAGAAGGTGCTTGCACCACCTCTGGAGGCAGTCTATTCCAGGCCTTTGGGGCTCAGACAGTAAAGAAGTTATTCTTTCTGTCCAGCCGGAAATGGTCTTGGAGGAGTTTGTGACCTTTGACCTGTGACCATCCCTTGGGGCACTCTGGTGAACAGGCATTCCCCCAGATCCTGATGTACAACCCTTATATACTTATAGGCAGCCACCAGGTCCCACCTGAACCTGTGCTTTTTGAGGCTGAAGAGTCCCATGGCTCTCAGCCTCTCTTCATAAGGCCTGTTCTCCTGCTCTCTGATCATGTGTGGCCCTCCTCTGGACTCTCTCAAGCTTCTCCACATCCTTTTTAAATTGTGGAGCCTAGAATTGGATGCAGTACTCCAGCTGCAGCCTCACCAAGGCCGAATACAGCAGGAGGATGACGTCCTGGGATTTGCTCAAGAAGCAAAGTTTTGCTCGCTTTACCAGCTGCAACATCACATTGGTGGCTCATATTCATCTTGTGGTCAGTCATGACCCTCAAGTCCCTTTCGGCCGTGGTGTTAGCAAGTGTAGCACTCCTGAGCCTATAAGCGTCCTGTGTTTTTTTCCCAAGGTAGAGTACCTTGCATTTTTTGGTGTTGAATGCCATCAGGTTTTCATCCGCCCATTTTCTGAGCCTGTCGAGGTCGGCCTGGATCACCAGCCTATCCTCAGGTGTGGATGCTTTACCCCAAAGTTTGGTGTCATTGGTGAACTTGGCCAGTCCGCTTCTGATACCAGTGTCTACATCATTAATAAACATATTGAAGAGTATAGGCCAAAGGACAGAGCCTTGGGGGACCCCGTTGGTCATGGCGTGCCACGATGATTTACTTCCATCTATTACTACTCTCTGGGTCCAACCTCGGAGCCAATTCCCCAGCCATCAATCTGTGATGTAGCCGAGGCCACGGTTGGCTAGTTTTTTCATGAGGAGATCATGGGACACCAGATCAAAGGCTTTTTTAAAGTCAAGATATATGACATCAATCACTTCTCCCTTGTCCAGGTGATATGTCACCTGGTCATAGAAGGAGATGAGATTGGTCAGGCAAGACCTACCTGCAGTAAACCCATGCTGGCTATCCCTCACAATGTTGCCATCAGCCAGCTTATTAAGAATGGTCTCTTTGATAATTTTTTACAAGATTTTCCCCGGGCTAGAGGTCAGGCTGATAGGCTTGTAGTTCCCCGGATCTACTTTCCTCTCTTTCTTGAAGATATTTGCCTTCTTCCAATCTTCAGGCACTTCACCTGAGCACCAGGAGTTCTCAAAGATCCATGCCAGGGGCTGGGCTATGATGCCTGCCAGCTTCTTAAGTATCCTGTGGTGTAAACTGTCTGGGCCAGCTGACTTGAAGGTATCCAGCCTCTCATGGTGTTCCTGTACATGGTCTACATTAATGTAGGGTAACAATTCTCCCTCACCCTGGCTGTCCCGTGCGGTATTGAGCAGGGCAGTCTCTTGGGGCTGGTGAAAAACTGATGCAAAATACCCATTAAGCACGTTGGCTTTTTCCTGGGTGTCGGGTGTCAGTTGTCCCATTTGGTTTAACAGGGGTCCAGTGTTACCCTTGCTTTTCTTCTGGCTCCCCACATATCTAAAAAAGGATGTTTTATTGTCTTTGATACATGTAGCCAGTTGGAGTTCAGTCACAGTCTTGGCAATTCTTGGTTTGCTCCCTACAGGTCCGGACCAGTGCAGAATACTCCTCCTTTGAGGTGATTCCAGTCTTCCATCCTTTATAGGTCTTTATTTTAGACACAGGAAGTCCACACGTTCCCTGCAGAGCCAAGGGGGCTGCTGTGTCCTTTTGCTACCTTTCCTCCAAGATGGGATAGACATTGTTTGTGCTTTGAGGATTGCTCCCTGGGGGAGCAACCACTCTTCCTGAACTCCAATCCTTCAGGTCGTGGTCCCTTGTGGCCCTCTCTCCTTTACTCACCTGCTATGCTTTGACTATATTAATTTCTGATAAAAGGGTGGCTGCCCCAGGGCTTCCCAAGCCTGGTCTTACGCGGATGACCATCGGTGTTTGTGGTAATTGCCTTAAGGGCTAGTTTCATGGGCTCCATCCTCCCCAGTACCCACTCCCATGCCTTGCAGGTGATCTCCTAACTTATGCCTCTCCTGGGTTATAGGCTCCCAGCCCCGGTCCTTTTGCCTCCTGGGCTTCAGACCTCTGAGCTCTCTAACCCTGCTGATATACTGCCCCTTCAATGGGTTCAGGCGCTTTGGCCCCACTCTGGCAGACCCCAGCACTGGAGCTTCTCTCAATGCAGCTTACTCACCCCTAGGCATTGGACCCCCCACCAGGCACCAGACCTTTGTGCTGTAGTCGTGTTGTCCCCGCCCAGCACTGGAATCTCCTGGTGTCCCTCCCAGGCACCAGATATTCATGCTCTAGTCCCCTCTAGGCACCGGACCCTCCTGCAGGGACAGCTTTTAAATATTTAGGCACACTGCAGCCAGGTTGCAGGTGCGCCTTCTCAAAATCCAGGTGTGCGGGCAGCCCAGACATTTTAAAAAGCATGCCAGCAGCTGGCTGTGTTCTGGGGCATGGGGAGCTGTAGATCAGGGAGCTCCGCGATTCCTAGCCTGTGTGAAGCTGGCTGCGTATTTACTGGGGTGTGGGGAGCTGTGGATTGGGGAGCTTCTTGATATCTAGCTCCCTGTGCCCTGGACCTGTCAGCCCAGCAGCAGGTTGCATGACACAGCATTAAAAGTCCCAGCTGTAAGGAAAGCCAATTCTGGGCTGCATGCCACATGTTCAGATGAAAGCACAACACATTTTTGTGGCTGGCTTGCCATTTTATCATGCCATAAATTGGCTGAATGTGGGCATGTTGCAACTTATCTCATGATAAATGCCAGGGCCCTAAGGTTTAGGGTGGATGGTTCTTAACTCTCAGTGCATAAGAATAATACGGATAAATGGTATTTTGCAATTTAACACCTCTATCGTTCCAGAGAATTTGGATATTACAGTTGAACCTCCTTAAGATCTGGTATTTTCCTTGAATTGTTCCCTTTCCCAAGACAGCTGTCTTTTTTTTTTTATAGTGCTATTTAATAAGTGTGTTGTCTTCTAGTACCCCATATATTTCCCTCTTTCTTTTCTCCAACTATCAGTCTTAAAGGATCTTCACAGAGCAACTCTTAGTCTGTATGTGATTAGTAATGCTCCCTATCAGTGCTTCTGTGAGCATCAACTAGAAACTTGTAAAGTCTTGCTTCCAACCATCTGAGTCTCTTGGGATATTGCACCCCCTTTAGTGCTAGGCCCTAGGCCTCTCCTTTTGTAAGTGGAAGCACTAAAGTTTCATTATACGGAGAAGGGTACGCTTTTTAAAAATGCCTTTCTCTTTGTCTTCAGTGAGACTTAAATTTTAAAGTCACATAGAAGCTTTTATCCTTTTGTGAGGGAAAGATTTTATAATCTGAAATTAGAGATTTGGATCACGACTACCCTGTCAGTACTGTGGCCTGTTTCTAATGCAGAAACACTGTTATCTCTGAAGTAGTATGTTACCACTTACCTAAGTTTCTTGCTTACAATTATTTTTTCTGTCCAGATTTTTTTAAAAAGTAAATCATATTTGAACTACAAAGTAGAATCTCTTAAAATTTATTTTTCTTTTACTACTTTTATTCTCTGAATCCATGAAGCATGTAGATAGACTATGCTCTTTGTCGCAGGGCACCTCGGTGCTCTGCTCCTAGAGAGTGGAAACCGCCAGGGAGAGAGAGCCCTGGCAGGACATAACAAGCACAGCTGCAGGTTGCCGGGGCAACTAATGTGAGTCAGCTGGCCAGAAGGGGCAGGGCCTGGCCTTCATAAAGCCCAGGGCTGAGGCCAGGCTGGCAGTTCTCTGCCAGTGGCCAGGGAGGCAAGAGCTCCTGGAGCTAGAATGCGAGCATTACAAGAAGGCCCTAGCGCCAGTGAGGGCGCAGGTTTCTCAGGGGGAACCCCAGTGGTATGGGAGCCCCAGCGCCAGTGAAGCTGCAGCGCCAGTGAGGGTGCAACTTGCGGGGTGGGTAGACCCCAGCCCCGGAGAGGGGCATTTTGAGAAGCCCCAGCGCAGGCACGATGAGCCCCAGGAGGGGGCGCTATCAGGAGGCCCGAGCGTGGGTGTGGCGAGCCCCAGGAAGGGGGAGCACACTTTAGGGAAGCCCAGCATGGGCACAGCAAGCCCAGAGAGGGGGCACCATTATTAAGGAGCCCAGCGTGGGCACAGCGAGCCCCAGAGAGGGGGCGATATTATTGAGAAGCCTGGCACGGGCATGTAAGGTCCCTGAGAAGGGGGACTATTGAGAAGCCCGAGACGGGCGTAACGAGCCTGGCTGTAGGCTAATGAGGCAACAACCCTCCGATAGGGGCAGGGTGCTGCGGTGGACCCCGACGGAAGTGGTTAGTAGTACAACGCCCCAGGAGAAAGGCAAGGTGCTGCGGTGGTCCCCGACCAAAGGGGATAGCAGTGCAGTGAGCCGGGATCAGAGAGGCTAGCCATGCGGTTGGCCTAAAGGACCGGAGACCCGCTAGAGGGTCCCTGAGCGGGACAACACTTTTAGACAAGGCCCAGAGTGGACTCGGCAAGA